GCGTAGGTACTTCATAGATATTTGTTTTCCCAAAAACATGCATTATGTTGCAGTTCTGAATCTTGAGTTCTTCAGTCTGAAAAAAGAGCATCATATCGAATACTAATTACTTTTTATGGGATGAACTTTAGGCGGATCATCTAATTTAACCATCATAGTCATGTCCTTAGGTAGGAACTCTCATTAAACCCACTGGGCTGCTGAGAAGAGCAAGGCCAGTCGGTGGGAGAGCTTAGACGCTATGCCTGCTGTGCCTCTGAGCCCCTGCCGTGAGCACCAGGCTGTAGTTTCTGGCTACAGTTTTCTGTATTTTCATGACTCTTTGGAATAACACAAAGGAAGACAGCACAGCCCTGCTCTGTTGAAAGTGATCATATTCATCCTTTCTCCATTCCCAGCTTTCCCTGGCCCTTATCTGAACCCTCCAAAGAGCATCTAAAAAGTACCCCTTGGGGTGGTTGGAGGCCCATTGGTCACACACTGGGCTTAGGGACTCAAGGGCGCATCTCTGTGGGAGGTCCATCCTGGGTGGTCTGGGGCAGAAGCACTGGCTTGGGGACCGGAAGGAACAGGTTCCCTCCCATCCAGGCTTTGCCACCAACAGTGTTGTTGACTGATGCTTGGCAAGTCACTGACATCTTTTACATGAAGGATCTAAGGCTCCTTCTGGCTGTAAAATGCGGCGTGATGGGTCTTGTTTACCTTAAGCATTAGCATGTGGTCTGCAACAGTGGCCTGGACAGAGTAGAGCTAAAGAAGGAGACATTGTGGGCAATAGGAGGGGCTGGTGTCACCTTCTTTCTGTCCCAAGTACTAGCTGTAGAACTCAGGCACATGATTTAGCCTCACTGTAGTTCTTTGTATAAAGACGGAGGCAACACCAATGTTTCTATCTACACTGAGTGGCCAGATAATTATGATCTCTGGACACATAATAATCTGGCCACTCAAAAAAAATATATATATATATTATATTTGAGGAGGCCTGGTGCATGAATTCATGCACGGGTGGGGGTCTAGCCAGCTTAGCCAGGGGGAGGGGACATGGGCAGTTGGCTGGCCTGCCTGCTGGCTGAACTGGTTGAGGGGACAATTTTCATACTAGCCTTTTATTATATAGGATATACACTGAGTGGCCAGATTATTATGCATTCAGAGGTCATAATAATCTGTCCACTCAGTGTATAAGGCAGTCAGAGCTATGTTAGAGAGCACAGGAGATAATGAATATAAGTTAGGAAACAGCATCCTGCTGTGAGAAACAATCACTGGCATTATTGAAATAACAGGCAGCAGGTCCCAGTGATGGGAAGACTTCAAATACAAAGTGCATAGCTGCTACAGCGCTGTTGACAGGTCTCCAAAGGAAGCACTTTCCAAGCCAAAAAGCCAGCCCGAGCTTGATTTCTTCTCAAGGCTAAGGACGTGGTGGGTCCCAGCAAGACTGTAATTTTTTTTTCCCGAGTTACTTTATGGAAGGAGGCAGCACTTTCTTTAAAAGGGTGTGTGGAGTTGTAGATATCTCTATATAAACTTAAATATACTTCTACTTAATGTTCATTGACAAGGTCCGAGATCTCTCACTTCTCTTCCTTGGCCACACATTTTAGCAATACTTATACACTTCCGTACTGTTGTGATGAAGTTACATATAATCATATTTCCCTGTAAATGGTAATATCTTATCAGCACTATTCTATCAGTCTACTTTTCACTTTTTACATAATATGTTTTAGAGAGGGTGGAAGGGAAGGAGAAAGAGGGAGAGGAACATTGATTTGAGAGGGACCTCTCGCACACGCCCTGACTGGGGTTGGGAATCAAACATGCAAGCCTTCAGTGTAGGTGCCCTTGACAGAAAATTGAACAACTGAGCCACACTGGCCAGGGTGGGGGTTCATTTTTTCTTAATTGTAATGTAAGTCTTTTTTTAATTGTTTTTTTATAATTAAAATTTTTTTAAATTACAGTTGGCATACAGTATTAGTTGGAGGTGTACAGCATGGTGATTAGATATTTATATAACTTACAGAGCGATCACCTTGAAAAGGCTCGTATCCATCTGCCATCAGACATCAGTATTACAATACTATTGACTGTTTTTTTTTTTTTTTTTTAGCAAGAAAGAAGGGGGGTCTTCTTCTGGTAACTGTATCGCATATTAAATATTGACCAATGCTTTCCCACTGAGTAATTATTTTACTATGTGAAGCGTAGAAAGTTAAATGTTCTATAAGTGGAACATTAGACAAGTAGATAGTGTGTTGTTTTCCAGTGTGATTGAAAAAATGGGGCCATTCTTCATTGCGGTTTAAAACCTTTTGAGTAATCTCATTTGTATTAATTTATTGAAATGTTAGGAAGCTTAGAAATGTAACTGCAACAAATGTTATAGAGAGCTTATAGCTCTACTTTTTAAGAGCAAAATCAATAGTAAAACTTTGCCCAAATTAAGCTAAGGTTTGTATTTTTTTTTGTCAAATTGTACCAACAGTGGTACTCAATCCTGATGAGATAATCCTTTGCTACTAGGGAGAGTATAAATTGGTATAAAATTTTTTAAACATTTATTTAAAGTGTAAAGAACCTTAAAATGTTAATATAATTTATCTCCAAGGAAGCTTTCCTAATGAAAAAGTTAGAATTATGGACCAATTTGGTCAGTATGAAATAATAGATTATTCCAGCAGTATTTATATTTGTAAAAATATTTGGAAACAGAAATAACTTAAAAGAATAACTAAGTTAGGTGTGATCTTTCCAGCTTCAATATAATATTGTTAAAAATAAGAAGACAAGCTGTTTATATCATTATTACCATTTTTGTAACATAGAGAAGTATTTATTTACTTAAAAGAAATGTGTCCATATTACCAATAGGTATTTATGGATTATGGGGGGGTCACATGCCATTTTCATTCATTCTTTGTTGGCATTTTCCAATTTTCCTATAATGAATATGAATTATTTCTACAATGCTAAAAACATTCACTGTATTTTTAAAAAAATGTATTTTTATTGATTTCAGAGAAGAATGGAGAGGGAGAGAGATTTAGAAACATCAATGATAAGAGAATCATTGATCAGGCTGCCTCCTGCACTCCTCCTACTGGGGATCAAGCCCGCATCTCAGGCATGTGCCCTTGACCAGAATCGAACCCACAACCCTTCAGTCCGCAGGCTGGGCTCTATCCACTGAGCCAAGCTGGCTAGGGCTCGCTGTATTTTTTTAAAAGACAAAATAAAAACACGAGTATATGTGCTGATAAAAAAAAGAAAGAAAGAAAGAATGGGTGAAAAAAAAAAGTGTTTTGATCCAGGACATTGGGTGGGGCCACGCAGCACTTGAAAAGAACTTTCTATTGCTAGACGAGGAAAGGTGTTACCGAGTATCTTGTTCCTGTGAGGTCTGGCCTTTCTCAGCGCTGCCTCTAAGGGAGTGTGTAAAGGAAGCCGTCACAATAGCTCATTCTGCGGTGCTCACGTCAATCACCTCCTTCTATTCTCCTCTTCCTGGAGGGCTTCTGTTTTCTTTTCTGTGCAGGACTGAGGTCACCAGGGCTGTGGTGCCACTCAGGAGGGCCAGGAGCCAGTGTGGGGAAACAGTTTGTCTTCATTTACCCAGATCGCCAAAGCTAACCCATGTCAGGTTGGGGAGATAACGATCTCAAGACATTAATTGTCCCTTTTGCTCAGCCTGTATGGAAAACAGGGCCCTCATATTCCTAAACAAGGAGCTAATTGTCTTCCTTCCAACGATGATGAAAACACGTGTGGGTCTAAATGCAGGCGAGGGGTACACCCTCACTACCTTTCCAGATGTGAGTGTGAGGGGCGGGGCAGGAAGGAGAGGTTTCTCCCCAGGTCTGTCCTTCCACTGGGGCACCCATGGCCCAGCATGTAGGGGGTTCAGGTCTGTTAGTTTGTCACTCTATGACAGGAAGCCCTTGGTATCCTGGAGCTGGAAAATCCTTCTGGATTTCATTGCAGCATGGCGCTGCAGAGGATGGCTTCTCTTTGGCACAATTACCCAATAACATGACGTTAGCACATGGACGTTGAGTGGCTCTAAAGACTTGCTTTCTGTTGGTTTGCCTTTGCAATGACATTTAAGGGCCACTGGTTTAATCCTCAAATTAGAGCCTTTAGGCAAGGTGACGGTTAGGAAGTTCAAGTTGCCATTGGGAGAGTGCAAATGTGTAGTGGCCAACTGCAGTCCAGGATCCTCACAGACAAGGCTTCTAGGACTTTGGAATCTAGAAACTATTTTTTTTCCTGAATAAAAGGGATGAATAGGATCTGCAACTGATGTTTCTTCCCCTTTATGCACAAGTGCTTTATATAAAAGAGAAGCAGTGTTGACAAATTCTGTCTTAGGATTGATAAAACGGTGTATTGGGTTCATTAGGCCCCGTGGAATCCAAAACAGTAATCTGTCCCCTGAATGCTAGCTGTCTATGCGACACCCCCTACTTACATGTTTAATAAGCACCCCAAACTCAAGGTGGAACCCTTGATTACCCCACAGCCCACAAATGATCTTTCCCTCAAGTGTTTTATTTTATTTTTTTTTCTTACAAAAAGAAGCTCCCCATTTGCCTGGTTGTTCAAGCAAAGATTCTGAGAGTTATCCTCACTTCTTTGCTTTCTCTTTCCTTTAGCCAGTCTGTCCCCATCGCAATTGTTGTCATGACTTCTAAAATATATCCCTAAGTCACTGACCTCTCCCCATCACTGTTGTTACCACCCCATTCAGATCACTGTCTTCTCTGCACTATGGCACTGTCTTCTAATCCACTTTCTTACTCTCTTAGGATCTCTTTTCTACCAAGCAGTGAGTCATCTGCTTCTTCATCATCATGTCACCAAGATGACGGGAAGGGGCTTGATAACTAGTGTGGCGTGAACGCCATCTTCAGCTGTTGTTCACACGCTGGGCCATCTAGCTGTCTCGCAACTTGGGACCCAATAGGTTGTTTCTGCCTGTTCTGTTTCTACAGCAGACGGGACTGTATGAGTATAAAGTCTTCGGAGTTCTGGAGGACTGCCCGCCGGCTCTGCTCGCGGAAGTCTATATGGACTTAGACTACAGAAAACAGTGGGACCAGTATGTCAAAGGTGAGTAACACCCACTGTTTTTTACAAAGTCAACGAGGAAGGAGACTCTATTGTTACTTATTCTACCTAGCGGAAAGCAACAGGTTTAATTTATACTCTGTTATGTTTCATTTTAAAGTTTGGCATACACGCCTTACGTGCTGGGCTGAAAGGTGCCTTTGCTATTCCCAGGACTTGCTCTTTGCACGCTTTCTGGTCCACTCTCCAGTTTGCTCAGCGGGTCACTCTGTTCTCTCTGTAAGTTGGTTGTCATCTGTATACCTACATATCATGGAAGGCTTCTTGGAGGAGGTGGTGTCTGAGCTTTGTTTTGGGAGTGGAACACAAGAATACTATATGTGAGGAAGTTAGGGTAAGGGGATGAGTGGTGCAAGGGCATTCCATGCCCAGAGAACAGCATGAGTCAAGTCAGGAAAATGTGAAACAGCATGATATATACAAATTGTGAGCAATTGAGGAGCAGAATCTGGAGTTAGGGTGGGAAGAGGGTTCAGATCCCCAAGACCTAGGCTGGCTGCCAGTCTGCAGTCCTTAGATTGTACCCTATGGGTGATGGAGAGTTATGAAAGGCATTAAACAGGAGATCCCCTGCCGTAGAGCTGGAAGAGTCCTCTGCCATCTTGATCACAGTGGCATAGAACTATGGAGTTGCCAAGGGGCACACAGACTCTGAAAGACCCTTGTCGTCAGGTTTCCTGGTTGCAAGTAACGAAAATGCTAACGAATACCATGTAAGAAAAGGAAAATGTTTACTGGTTCGTGGCATTGAAAACTCCACGGATGTCTGGCTTCCAGGAGAGCTGCCTCCAATACTTGACTCACTTCTCCATCTTTTGACTCCGTTTTTCCACCTGAATCCTCAGGCAGATCCTATGTCATGTCATGCAAAGATGCCACCAGAAGATCCAAGCTCATCAGTAACCATATGGCTAACCCCAGAGGAACACGAACGAGAACCCCACTTCCTGCTGCTGGCAGCCGGAGCCCAGGATTGGCTCTCATTGGCTCAGCATGGACCATGTGCTTATTTCCCGTGGCCCTTTCTCATGCTTTTGGGTCACTTACTGTATTCAGATATGCTTCGTATCTAGGAGGAATTGTGATGCTCGCCCATCCAAGGGACAAACTGTTTTCTCTGTCTCAGTTTCCCTAGAAGCCATTCCGAAGTGACCGAAATGGCCCATGAGGTGCACATGTGTGTCTTCAGTTTGAGAGAGAGCAGCGTGAGGAAGCAGGCAGCATGTAGAATCCATTTTCTGGGGATGGTCCCAGCAAAGGCATCCTGACTTTGGGGCAGACAGTTGCAGAGCTTCTGACATTTGGTCCTCATGCCATGGTGTCTGGTTCACCCGACTGGCTTCTCTGGAACAATCCTGCGATCTAAACCTAACTCTGGTCCTCCTGGGTATTCTGTGAGCTCCCTGAGGGCCTTTACTAAGCCACTTCTCAGCTTAAACCTGCTTGAGTGGCCAAGCTAAGACCCTCGCCAGAGGTCCCTGAACTAACTCCCCTGGGCATGTCTTGCCACTTTTCCAGCCCTGGGATTGATGCTGAGCCAGCTTTGCTTAAACCACATAGTTAGGAAGGAGGGGAAGATGATGCTTTGAAGAAGCAGTGAGATGCTAGTTCACAAACGGAGCATGGGAAAGCAACAGGTGTCCACCTCTTCCCTTCCTTTCAAGGGCTGTCTTCAATCCCTGTGGCACCAGTGGCTGGGCAAGCACTTTATTGGATTTTCTTTTATTTTTAAAAAAATATTTTATTGATTTTTCACAGAGAGGAAGAGAGGGATAAGTTAGAAACATCGATGAGAGAGAATCATGGATCAGCTGCCTCCTGCACACCCCCTACTGGGAATGTGCCCGCAACCAAGGTACATGCCCTTGACCGGAATCTAACCTGGGACCTTTCAGTTCGCAGGCCAATGCTCTATCCACTGAGCCAAACCGGTCCTGGCTATTAGATTTTCTTTTAAAAACTGAGTTAAACAATATGTTTTTTCCTCATCTGCTTCTCAAGGCACCTTTAGCTTGGCTTCCTCTATAATATTAGGGAGATGTTTGCAGTACATCTGGGTGAGAGGCGATACATATAATTGAATTCCTTTGCTACCTCCCTCCAAGAGCAGCTGCTGTTTGCACACCAGAGCGTGATGGGGTAGTCAGGAGATTTCTGTGGCACAGTACACAGAAACAAGGGAGAGAAGCAAGATACTTCGCCACAGTGACACCACTTTCTCTTTGTCCAGGAAGGACACTGCCTTCTCCAGAACCTTTTTTTCCCAGCTGAAAGCGCTAGGCCAGTGGTCGGCAAACTCACTAGTCAACAGAGCCAAATATCAACAGTACAAAGATTGAAATTTCTTTTTAGAGCCACATTTTTTAAACTTGAACTTCTTCTAATGCCACTTCTTCAAAATAGATTCTCCAAGGCCGTGGTATTTTGTGGAAGAACCACACTCAAGGGCCCAAAGAGCCGCATGTGGTTTGTGAGCTGCAGTATGCCAACCACGATGCTAGACTAAGCAACTCTGTCCTCAGCCAGTGGTCATGTCTTAAAATCTAGAGGGGAAAAGGTCTTAAAAGCAAAATTGTTGGTACTCTAGTGACATCTGGTGGTTACCCTGATCTTGAAACCTGAAGGTTTATTCTTGCCTGATTCATTGCTCTCTAACTGAGAATCTTGTTTTCGCTCTGAGTAGACCAGTTTTGTTGGGTTCCTTGATGTTGACTCTGCTTTTATATTCACTGGACCATGTCCTTAGGCAACAAGCTGTCAGTGGTAATGAACGGGCCTGACTATTTTAGAATTCTGTGCCGTATGCATTAATGGTTTATTATGTTCTACGAACTCATCCTACGTAGGCTTCATGTTAATTGAAACCAAAGAGGCTTCCAGAAATATTAACTTCTTTTGTTCTCCTTAGAACTCTACGAAAAAGAATGCAACGGCGAGACTGTGGTCTACTGGGAAGTGAAGTACCCGTTTCCCATGTCCAACAGGGATGTATCCTTTCCCAGGGGGCACCGTTTCTTGACTTTCTAAGGATTGCTGGGCACTGGGGCCATCGTCCAATGGTGGTCTGTCCAGCAAGTGTGGAACACCATTGTCTTTGATCCTTGCAGAAGCATCTGCCACACCTGTTATTGCACCCTGTGCAGCTTTTGGAAAACTCAGAGTGGGATCTCTGGGCCTGACCACGTGGAACGTCTGTAACTGTGGTCACTGGAGGGCAGCCTCTACTTTCCTGAGATGTTTCCTAGGCCTCGAAGTTGTTTTGCTTGAAGAATTGAGGACTTGGGAAGACCTTTTAATCAAGTTTAACACACTCCCCAATCTAGAGAAAGGTAAAGTGACAGAGGCATCCGTACAGGTGATGAGTGGCACAGTGGGGACTAGAGCCCCCACACTTCCAGCTCTCCTCATACCTCTTCATGTTTTATGGACCCCACAGTGGTCCCTCCATCACTCTTGGCTCTGGACACTGCATATATGCTGCTTCTCCTCAATTTCCTTATGTATCTTATGATGCAGTTGAATGGAATGTGGGGAGTTAGAGCTACCACTCGGAGGTCCTAAGAAGCCTGAGAGGGTGGGATGGGACTTTGCTGGGTGAGAGGTACGGGGGTAGGATGATGGACAGGCAAGCTTTCTCTTTAATCATAGCAGCTGAGCACTTCACACACTGAATTTCCATATAAAGGGGCTCGTTGATTAAAACATAACTCGTGGAAACCACTGAATTATGTGATCACTGGATCTTTTCTAGCCCTAACATTCTGTAAGTCAGTTGGTTCCTAAATAATTATTCCCTAAAAAAAGAGGAAGTGTATGGGTGTGTTCTGTGTGTTTTGTCTGTGTGTGTTTTTGTGTCTTCCTGGCCCCCAACTAGATTTTAAACTCCATAAAGGTTTATTTTTTGCCACAGTTCCCACATCCTGCTAGATGGCTTACATTGCACATGGCATGTATTTCAACAAATTGTGGGTTACTTAACCCCTTAGATTTTAGGTAGTTTTCTTTAATCCTTCAGACAAGAGTCATCAGTCAACAGGCAACATCATCCCCATTTCACAGTGAGGGAAACTGAGGCAAAGAGAAGTTCTGAACTTGACTCAGGTTCACACAGCTGGTGGGTGGAAAAGACAGGTTTGGGACCAGGTCCAGCTGTCTCCAGAGATGGTGATCTTGACCAGGCCATGGTCCTGCCTCTCTGACCTCAAAGGGTCACTGCTGGGTAGGATCACAGGGTCACAGCGGTGAATTCTCAGGACTCCTTAAACGTATATTTCATTGGCTTCCTTGTGTCACATGATACCAGCAGTGGTTTTTAGTCTTTCTATATGCATACCGGAACGTCTCTCTAATAAGGGTTGTTACATTTTTGAAAACAGAGAATAGTGCAGTGGTAAGGAACATTCATTTTGGAGAGAAAGAGCCCAGGTTGTGCATGCAGCCATCCGCTGGTTTGCTGCGTGATCTTGTGTGACCTTGGAAAAGGCCTTTTGGGTCTCTGGGTGAACTGGTTGTTCTCCAGTCATAGGCCCCGTGGCATGCTGGACCTCCCAACCGCCAAATTTTAATCATTATGTGTATCAAGTTAATTTTTCCTCCGTGGAGTGTCAGGTGACATCTATCACATGAGCTGAGCAAATTGTGGGAGAAAGTGGGGCAGTATTTGCTGTGAAGTGGGAGAGAGGAGATCTGGAGCCAAAGGCAACACCATTTCTTCCCTAAAACATTTGAAAACTTTATTCCCCATGACTTAGAGACGGAGGGCAATGGACCATCACTCGGGCTGCCTGAGTGACGACTGGTACAACTGTGGGTGCTTTTGAGACCTGAGGTGTATGGGGCTGTGGTTGTTGCTATTACAGTAAGTGCAACTGTGTTATACTGAGAGTGATTTTTTTTTATTGTCTTAGGCATTTAATTCTTACTATTGTTAAATCTAAAATTCTGTCATTGCAAAGTATACAGGCAAAGAGTTGAGCCCATCCACCTATGAAAGTTAAATAGGTTTTGAAGCCAGATTGGGTTCTGATTCAGGTTTCATCACTTCAGCGGGACGGTGGGACCAGGGGCATGTTTCTTTGCCTCTCCAGTGTAATGTCATCTGTTAGATTGGGGTATTTATACTGAACTCATGGTGATTTTTCAGGATCAAAATAGATGCTATAGGGCAGTGGTTGGCAAACTGCAGCTTGTGAGCCACATGCTGCAGTTTGCCCCCTTGAGTGTGGCTCTTCCACAAGATACCATTTTGAAGCAGTGGCCTTAGAAGAAGTTTAAGTTTAAAACATTTGGCTCTCAAAAGAAATTTCAATGGTTGTACTGTTGATATTTGGCTCTGTTGACTAAGGAGTTTGCCGACTCCTGAATAAGGAGATGGGGCAGGTGGGTGAAGTAACAGTTCCAGGGAGACCATGGGAGGAACAGAACCCCGTCTTTGGCTTCTGGCTTGGGGTGCTTTCCTTCTGCCCATCTGAGATGCTGGTGTGATGTCATGCCTTGACTGGTACTGCAGTATGTCTACATCCGGCAGCGGCGAGAGCTGGACGTGGAAGGACGGAAGATCTACGTGGTCCTGGCCCAGAGCGCCTCCGTGCCACAGTTTGCTGAGAGGCCGGGCGTGATCCGGGTGAAGGGATACAAGCAGAGCCTGGCGATTGAGAGCGATGGCAAGAAGGGGAGCAAAGGTAAAGCCAGGGTGCATGTGGGCGCACCAGCCAGGGCCACCCCCATGCGAAGGGCATGCTGATCGTGAGGCATATAAATGCGTGATCCTCGTTCCCTGAGGTCAGAGAACGGGCGGGGGTGCAAGACAAACATGGGGAGAGATTCAGTTCATCCAGGAAACGTGGCTGGAGTACAAGGTGGATGTTTAAACCTGACCTGATCCACTCTTTACTGACTGTTGTCTGGGTGAAATAGAACATCAGAGTCCACCAGAAGGCTCAGCATTGACTCCAGGTGGGTCCTGGGCAAAGAACCCATAGGAATGTTTGGGGGACAGCTCCTTCTCAGCAAAAACTTAGAGTCTCGGGGCCTGCCTACTCAAGTTCAAACCATGAGAAGAGCTGGGGCTGAGAGTGGGGCACATGGCCCCTGCCCTATTGGCATGAGAGGGCCTTGAACTGGAGATAAAACCCAAGCCATAGTTCTGATGCCTGTTAACAAGTTGACTTTGACAAGTCAACCCACACTTCTTAGTCTCCATTTTACCCAGTATACACTGGGGTTTAATTTCACCAACTCCTTACAATTGTTAGGTTAGTGCAGTGGTCGGCAAACTCATTATTCAACAGAGCCAAATATCAATAGTGCAAAGATTGAAATTTCTGTTGAGAGCCAAAAGCCGACTTCTGTGCACGGGCCACGAAGTTTCAATCACACTGTATGTGCGTGCTCGCACATGGTATTCTGTGGAAGAGCCACACTCAAGGGGCTAAAGAGCCTCAGTTTGCCGACCACTGGGTTAGTGAATGAAGAAATAATGAGACTCTATCCAAGTGTCTGGCACTTGCCAGGTACTTAATAAATAGCAGCAAAATGTACATTGACTTATGTTTTCAAAAATGTTTACATAGAAATGCCCTGGAAGACAAGGCCGAGGAGAGAATCCACCCAAGTTACCTGCTACCTCCCCGCTCTCCTTCTGGGTCTGACCCTGAAGCGGGAGGTTCCCAGGGTTTGTGGCTGCACCTTTCTGACCGGTTTTCTCCTGCTGACTCGTGCTTTCTCTCCCCCTCTAGTGTTCATGTACTACTTCGATAACCCAGGTGGCCAGATTCCGTCCTGGCTCATTAACTGGGCCGCCAAGGTGAGCTCCCAGGAGGCCGAGGGGGGAAGTGTGTCTGACAAATGTTGACTCAGCCCGTGGGGCTGTCAGGCCGGAGAGACACGCTGTCTCAGGCCTAATGAGGCTCTTTTATAAAGCGGCGTGGTTGAGTGACCACGGTTAGGACCGGGGTTGCCAACACCCAGGATGAAGCTGGGGCAAAAGACAAAGAATCCTTCGCTGGAATGCCAGCCCCTCCCTGCCTGTGCCCCAAGACCCCGCCAGGATCATTCTCTGGAACCTCGGGACAATAGCCTGCTCCCCGTGTGGACAATGGTGCCTTTGGAGCCTGTGTCTGCTTTCGGAGGAGACAGCCTGACGGCTCCGCGCCTGGGGGAAGCCTCCGGTTTTGTTCCTGTGGTTTTGCTCTGTTGCTCTGTGAGGAGAGGGAACCACAATGGTGGCCCGGATCCCTGGAGACTGCCTAGGCGCCTGCTTCACCGGGACCGGTCTGCCTGCTGTGTACAAGCCCTACTAACCGGCTGGAGGGCTCATCAGACCCCCTGGGAGTGGGACAAAGCTCAGAGGCTTTGGGTCAAACCCAAGTGAATTTGAATCCAGGACCTGCTCTGTGTAATTAATTGAGGGAAGCCATTGAGTTTTTCCCTTTTAAAAGGGCCTGGGTATTACCTACTTCGTAGAGTGGGTGTAGATAAGACAAGGTTTGTGGAAAGTCTTGCACAATGGCCCACACTCACTAAACAATAGTGGGTATATTCCAGTGGTCGGCAAACTCATTAGGCAACAGAGCCAAATATCAACAGTACAACAATTGAAGTTTCTTTTGAGAGCCGAATTTTTTTAAACTTCAACTTCTTCTAATGCCACTTGTTCAAAATAGACTCGCCCAAGCCTTGGTATTTTGTGGAAGAGCCACACTCCAGGGGCCAAAGAGCCGCATGTGGCTGGAGAGCCGCAGTTTGCTGACCACTGGTATATCCAGCCTCATGCCCCCAAATCCTCACCAGTCTCTACTTCTGCAAAGCGGGACCTTCCACTTCTTCAGAGGAGCTGACAATCCAGCCCCATCCCATTTCTCATGTTTTCTTTTTCTTTTCAAGAAACGGTGTCTCCGAAATGTCTTAGCTTTCATTAGCAAGAGCCAAAGGAGAAGGCAGTGTCTGGCAACAGTGGCCTCTGTAGTCTAGTCTCATCTGTGCCCTGGAACTTAGCTTTTGCCTGTGACAACTTGAAATCCGGTCTAGGCCCTGTTGTCTCTCCTCCTCCTCCTCCTCCTCCTCCTCCTCCTCCTCCTCCTCCTCCTCCTCCTTCTACTTTTTGAAATATATTTTATTGATTTTTTACAAAGAGGAAGAGATAAGGATAGAGAGTTAGAAACATCAATGAGAGAGAAACATCAATCAGCTGCCTCCTGCACAGCCCCCACTGGGGATGTGCCCACAACCAAGGTACATGGTCTTAACTAGAATCAAACCTGGGACCTTTCAGTCCCCAGGCTGACGCTCTATCCACTGAGCCAAATCGGTTTCAGCTGTTGTCTTTCCTTCTTTCCCGAGTCGCCTTTGTCTCCCCGAGCCACGTGCTCGGGAATCGGGGGTGATTACTCTGAGAACCTAGACGTGACAGTCTCCTTTGCTTTGCAGAACGGAGTCCCTAACTTCTTGAAAGACTTGGCAAAAGCCTGTCAGATCTACCGCCAGAAAACATAAGGAAGGGCCTTGGGAACCTTGTGCCTACGGACCGACATCTGCGGAAGAGCCACAACCCACGGATCCTCAGCCTTCTTTTCACTTTCCCGTCCTCAGAGGCCGGCACTTTCTCCAGCTCGGCCCCAGCCTCTGCGTGTGCCTGACGCCCGGCTTCCTTTCCCACTCTCGCTGCCCTGGGACCCGCTGGCTGCCTCCTTCCAGGGTTGAATGTGCATCAGATGAGGGAAACTTCTGCTTGTTTGTTTTTTTCAAAAGGGAAGTCCTCAGTAGGGAACACAATCACTCCATTGTGCCTTTGGAAGGGGATGGGTGGGTGGAAAAGCCACCACCACAACAAAAAAACACACACACTAGTAAGAATGCCCCCTCCAAGCAAGCTGGCTCCTGCCCAGAACTGGATTTCTTGTGACTCTGACTCCAGAGGGGCTGCTGGAAGTTGCATTCCCTGCAGAGTTGACTCACAGTGTGCCAAGACTGGGAGGCTGTGTATGTCCCTTAAGTCTGGTGACTTGATTTGGCGGGGGTTCGAGGGGATAATCCAATAACAGTCTCTGCCCATCTCCACAGCTAGGGGATCACAAGCTGTTTTGATTTGAAAAACACTGTAGGCCTGCCTAAGCATATGACTATGATGTGACAACCATTTTTTCCTCATCACCCATGCCTGGGTTTTTCTCTATCCCTTATGCCACTGGGGAAAGGTTGGCCACACCTCACTAGCTCTTCATTTTACTGGAAATGGAGCATCTGGATGGCTCTAGTAGTTAACCAAAGCCAAGATGCTTAGCACACAGCCCTGTGATAAAGTGACCTTATAGGCAATATGACGGATTTCCCATCTGGAACGTTTGGGGACGTTGAGAGGATCATGGTCCACAGTCAGGGACATATTAATGAGCGACTTGGTTGACTCTGACTTTTTTCTCAGGAATCCTCCCCAATTTGTCTACCCACCACCCCAAAGATTTCTGTGTTTTCTCCTGAATTTTGGTTGGGTCAGATATCCTGTGACACAGCCTTGATGATCTCAGAAAACGTTTAAGCACTGTATGTGACAGTGTCAACCTCGAACAGGCATAGACATTCGGGAGGTGAAGCGAGAAGCAAGGGGTTTATTGAAACGGGATATCTCAGACTGCATGTTTTCTCTCTGGGAAGGAAAGTGATTGAAGACCAAATAAATACAGAGTGGCTTCTATTTATCCTGTGTGCAGCTTCCTTACCACCTGGTTCTTTCTGTGAGAATGAATCACTTTGGTCTCTTTGGTTTACAAGTCACATCTGACCGAACTCATGGACTTAAACAAAACAAAAACACACAAAAAAAGAATTTTAGGCTCATTTACCTGCAAGGCCATGTGAAGAAGGTATGGGTTGATTCAGGTGCTCAAATTAATGTTATAATTCAGGTCTCTTCTTCAAGTTATTTTTTATTTTTTTAAAAAATATATATTTTATTGATTTTTTTTACAGAGAGGAAAAGAGAGAGATAGAGAGTTATGAAACATTGATGAGAGAGAAACATCAATCAGCTGCCTCTTGCACACCCCCTACTGGGGATGTGCCCTCAACCAACATACATGCCCTTGACCGGAATCGAACCTGGCACCTTTCATTCCTTAGGCCAACGTTCTAAGCCAAACCGATTTTAGCTTCTTCAAGTTATTTTTGATGTTGGGCTGTATTTGGTACTAGATTGCTGCTAACTGCGAGAGGTAGGCTTACATCTTCCCAGGTTCATGCTGAGCCAAAAGAGGGAAAGAATATTTCTTTCCATCAAACCCACACCATCCTATGATTCCCTTTAAACCATGTGCCTAACCCTGCCCCAGTCATTGTCATATGGGTAGAATTATGCAACTGAGTGATACTTCATCACCGTATCATTAAAATGTCATTATTCTGAGTGTAGCTGGAATTTAATGATACACTAAAGTGCCTTATGTTAAAAAGGTCAAGCTGAAATTTTATGTATAGAGCCACTGAAACACAAGCACTGAGATTTTAGCCTTGGAGCAGAGAATCTACATGAAATGGTGTGCAAACCACGGATTTAAACAGTGTTTCATACCTTGCTAAGAACTGCAAGAATATTAAGAATACTGAGTTTCTAGGTAAGGCAGTTAGAAAAGTCACAAAGTTTGCTATAACAGAGTTTTGATTCTTTGGCAAATATTCTTGCTAATTTGGAGAAGACAATCCTGTACAACATTGGCATGTAAGATTATGCGGGAAGCTGAGAACCCCTGAGCCAGAGCTGGTGCTTCAAAGCTCCCCAGATTCTTCAGGGTACACCCCTCTCTACGGGCTGGATGCCCCCTTTGGAACTAGAAAGTTACAAATACTTTGCCATTCCTCTAGCACCGTGTTTCACTTGGTTTCCCCATGTCTGTGGCTCTAAAAAAACACTGGTACCTTGTGAATAGAAACAGTTAAGTGGCTTTGGTTACTGCCTTCCCAGGACAGTTAAAGAAGGCACTCGGAGGGTCACTGAGTCAGTGAATATGTGATTGAGAGATTGACCAAATGACACCCAGGAGAGGAGACAAACCCATCCAATATGCAGGTGTCTGATTACATTAAATAATAATTTAATATTTAGTAATTTAATTCAAGTTATTGAAGCAGAATTTTAAAAATATATATATTTTATTGATTTTTTTTTTTTTTTTTTTTTTTTTTTTTTTTTTTTTTTTTTTTTTTTTTACAGAGAAGAAGAGAGAGGGATAGAGTTAGAAACATCAATGAGAGAGAATCATGGACCAAACTGCCTCTTGCACACCCCCTCCTGGGGATGTGCCTGCAACCAAAGTACATGCCCTTGACCAGAATCGAACCTCGGACCTCTCAGTCCGCAGGCCAATGCTCTATCTACTGAGCCAAACCGGTTTTGGCAAAGCAGAATTTTTGAACTGGAATACGCAGTGTTCGCTGGGCAGGATGTTCCGGATTCTTTGTCCTCTGGGGTTGAAGAATGAATCCACAGAGAGAAGGTGGTATGGCAAAGGTGGAAATTTACTGAAGAACAAGTACAGACTCCCACGTGGGGAGGGGGAAGTGTCCCACTGAGTTCTTTTCCCTATGGCTTATAAAGGTTGCAGATCCTGGTGCTTGATATCCCCTTTGATTGGCTACTATTTCTTTAAACTGTTACTATAGTAACTCCTGGGCTCAAAGGTTTTTCCTCCCCTCCTTATTGTTTTCCTATTCCCTTTGGGCTTTTTCCTTCTTCTGGATAAAGGGCTTCCTTCCCTTTATTTTGTAAATGTAGACCTGCTGTTCCCAGCTCCCTCATCCTATGGAAATGTACTTGTTGCAGCTTTTCAGCTCCCCTATTCTATGGAAATAATACCTTCTGCTGCTCTGCAGCCCTGTGCTTCTTCCATGGTCCTCTTAATTTCAAAAATTTCCTAAGTCTCTCCTTTTCACCCCTAAAAATTCCCATTTCAGTATTTCCCCCAAAACATATTTGTGTGTGTGTGTGTGTGTGTGTGTGTGTGTGTGTGTGTGTTCTAGGTTCCCATGGGCCCTTCCTTTAAAGAACTAAGGTTCCTTCTTTGTGAAGGGCTTCTTGGCTGGTATGTCTACAGGTTATAGTTTATTACCAATCTGGAGTCAAAAAAGGGAAAGGAAAAAGGAAAAACCTAAAAAAAAAAATGTAAGCAGGTCCTTTCTCTCTAAAGTTTCTTTATCTGCACTCCTTCCCAACTACAGAAAGATTTTTATTTTATTTTTCATTTTTATTTTTTGCTTGAAATGATAGAAGCACATTGTTTAGGTCCTCAGAGTTTAGAACCAGCAAAACAGAAAGGCTTCTGAAAAATTATTTAGATTGTTAATCTACTTATGTGTGTGTGTGTGTGTGTGTGTGTGTGTGTGTCTGCTTAAATACACATAACGGGTGCTCTCTTTCATGAGATATAAGAATGGAATGGCAGGTCGTGAGTGCCTGTTCAAGGTCCCTCTCTGCAGGCTGCACCACGCTCGGTGCTGGGCGCTGGGTGGCAGAGTTCAAACATGAAGAAGGGACTCTTCCCCTGGGAACTGGCAGTCCATCGAGGATGCAATGCGTGGCTTATGACCATAAACCAGGAAAATAGGGTCGCCACCCCAGGAAAGGAACAGATGCAATAGTTTAGGACAGTGGTCGACAAACTCATTAGTCAACAGAACCAAATATCAACAGTACAACGACTGACATTTCTTTTGAGAGCCAAATTTTTTTAAACTTAAACTTCTTCTAATGCCACTTCTTCAAAATAGACTCTCCCAGGCTGTGGTATTTTGTGGAAGAGCCACACTCAAGGGGCCAAAGAGCCGCATGTGGCTCAAAAGCCACAGTTTGCCAACCACTGGCAGGAGTTTGTGGCTAACTGCTGCTAAAACCAAGGCAACTGGTAAAAAAAAAAAAAAAAAAAAGGAGTTGCTTATGCAAAGCACAACATTACCAAACAAAGGCTTTACTTAGTGGCAGTTTGGCTTTTAGAGACAGGAAATCTTAAACCAGTCACTCAGGAATCCACCTGATCAGACCCCCTGCCATCCCTGAAAGAAAAGTCCCCTTGCAATAACCAATCTGCTTTTTCCTTGGTGTAGCTCCCTCCTTTCCCCTCCTTTCTGCCTGAGGACATCTTTCATTTTGTACAGCTCCTCAGGCCATCTGATTGGGTGCTGCCTGATTCACACTGTCATTTGCTCAAATAAACTCTTGAAACTTTGAATAAGCTCCGTTTGTCTTTGAACAGCTCTGGGGTTAGAAGAGGAAACCAAAGGAGACCCCAATGTCCCCCAGGAGCAGCTGGTGCCCTCTTAGGGACCTAGGGCGCCCTTGAGCTGCTGCTCTCCTTACTCTGAAGGTCATGGGTATCCCCTCTCTGTCCAGCTCTGCCGCTTCTGCATTGTGAGCTCTCACACTTGATTTGAGCGTTTCTTTTTCTGGACTGGATCCTCAAACTGGGAGAAGTCAGACTGGGCCTGACTTAGAAACCGCCTGGGTCAGG